GCCCCCCCAAAAAAATTAACTCTTAAACGACGATGTTGCTGGACCAGTTATAATCAAATCCTAAACATCCAAAACCATAAAGGACCGCATACCTCTTGAGAGCATGGAGCATGTGGAGGGTCACACGTACATCTTGCAGGACATGATCAGTAGAGCTCTATCTCTGCCCGTTCCTTCAGCCTATTGGGCACGCGAAAAAGACCAACTGGCAAGCTGGGCCAACAAACGATCAACTGGGTATTGACTTGAATAGCTTGGATGAAAGGTATCCTCATGCCACCTTGAGTAGATTGTAGATGGAACTGTCCACTCAATTGATTTGAAAAATGGTTTGCTTAAAGCACCTATTGATGTCAAGTGCCAGAGTCCCCTCCCAAGAAAGGAATTCTGCTATCCTCTCTGCGAACACTTCTATTCTGAAAACAACGTGAGACCGGAAATCACTCTTGAGTCGTTCCTGCCATGGCGTTCCTCTTTCTCCACATGTGAAGGGATGGGAGAAGGCAAAGGCCTGCCTTCCTGGACGATCTACTCACTGGTGCTGCTGGACTCCTCTGACCCCCCCAAAGCGAGTGCTAAAACGTGTCAGGGGCGAGAAGGCTTACGTCTGCCCTGAGATCATTTCAACAGTGATGCGACCTTAACAAGCCTAAGGGCTGCATTTATGCATATGAAAAAGCACCTAGTCTCAGCATGACTCAGCCTGTTCTACCGGAACCCTACCTGGGCTATAAAAACTCTACCTGGAAAGGGACAAAAACCTGACCTACTATGCAAACGTTGATTGGTTTACATCCTTCTGCGTTGTGCTCAGTACCTATTCACTGCAGGCAGGAGCTTGTCAGGGGTGTACAGTTTGACCACCGTTTCCCAATCCAAGCCCCATTCCTTGGATTTGCACACCCGGGCAAACGGCAAAACCATATATTGTATAATACAAAACCATCACTTGACTTATCATGCCCAAGCAACTCTAGAAACAAAGGCTCTTCCCAAAGAACCAACAACCACATGTACTACAATGCTACTTGGATTGACACCACTGAAACTGTGGATTCTCTCTTGCAGCACCAGGATGTGCCGGGAAAGCGGGCACATCCACGATCAAACATCGGAAACAGCGCATGGAGTCGGGACAGTGGGCTCCATTCGGAGTCCGTCCTTGCCCGCAGGGCCGGTCTTCCTCCGGCCTTTGAGGGGGAAAACGAGGTCCTCCGGAGGGGTTTGGGGAATGGACTTCGCTGTGGAGCAGTGGTCCAGATGTGGTGGAAGGACACGGTTTTTGGTGATTTGGAAGGACATGTGCACTGACACCAAGCCTGGCAAGTCTGTGCTCTGACACCATGTGAGATATATTCTGAGAACCCCGCCCCCCCGATCAATAAATTTCAATGCAGTCCTGACATACGCTATCGCATGTGTTCTGGCATATGCTCTGAAGTTTTTGCAACTTGCATATGTTCTGACATCTAACCTATTCTTTGGCATACAAATGTGTTCTGGCATCAAGTGACCCTTACTATTACTTTTATATATAATGATGTCTGCTGTTCAATCAGGTCACGACAAACAAAATGTCTACCGACAGGTTGACATGTGTCACCTGGCAACCTGACAGCACCTGTTTTGGAACCTTATTACAGTATACACATTGGCTATAAATCGGCACGTAACCAACATGCTGCACATCTGGATAGTAAGTCAATCGAAAGGAAGGGGTGTTCCCGTTCACAAGAGTTTGCTTTGGGCAAGCTCGGTATCCCGCAAAGTGCATGCAGCGGAAGCCGCAAAATATCAAAAAGACCAAATGGCGAACCACCCCCCAAAGCTGACGTTGATTATGTTACACACAGTTTTGCATATATATATATATTTGTAGTATCCTGTACCAGGCCCGGAGGCTGTGATCTTCCATTGTCTGGATGTATTGTCCGCAGTGTGGAGGCTCGGCTCAAAAAGTTTTTTATGCGCATTGTTGGAGCGATTGTAACGCTTTTTCCATCAATTAATGAGGACTTATTGACATGAGCGTTCTTTTCGTAGAGAAGGAAGCTTCAAGATGGTTTGAGATCCTGACTTGAATTTGGGGGGAGTGTTGCTGTCTGGTTCGGCCTTGAACACACATATATAAGCACACCTGTCATGCCCCTAAATCCGAATGGATGGTCATTGACCCCTGTCAAGCTTGGAATTCGCCTCATTCGGCGGCACTTCGGAGGACGATGACTCTCTTCAGCCTAAACAATGCACTCTAGCGGCACAGCGGGAAAGCCAAACTCGAGAAGCCTTCATCGAGACCGTTTTGTTTCTTTGTTGCCATACATCTATACTCCCTCTCAGGATGTAGGACCCCATCCTACATGGTGAAGGGCGCTTTCGAAACCATTCCAGCAAAAGTCACAGTAACTGACTCCAAACATCAAGCTGCTGCTCTTCAGATTCCACCTTTCCATACCATATCCGAAGCCACTGGAAGGAAGGAATGCCAGAAATAGGAATCCACCGAAGCAGAACTGGTCCAGTTTGCACAACAACCATCAACCTCTCAAATGCCCCGCAACCTCCAGGTTGAAACCAGTAATCATGATCATTGAAGTCCGCACCCCCCAGAGGGTGGTTTTTGGAAGGAAAATACATAGGCCTAAAGCAGTCAGGAGCGGGGATCTATAAATCACCCGAACATACCTGAACGATGTGTGGTGCTGGAGGACATGTTTAAGGCATCTTTTTCAGCACGGGGAACGTAAGGGTTTTCCACTTACAGGCTTCAAGAGTTTGGTCTAATCTTCCCAGGAGCTTCTAATCTACATGCTCCAGTCAAGCTCTCGGAACAACAGGTCGACGTTGGCGAGCTGGAAGGGTGGCGGCCCTCTCTCAACAACGCCCTCTCTCCCTCGCTCTCTCTCTCCCGGAAATCACCCTCCGGCTCTCAACCTCGGAAGACTGTGGGTTTGATGCGTCAGGTTCCGATTCTGTGGTTCTCGGAATGCACTGGGTCCCTAACATGGTTACGTGGATGGCATGGCCACGAAGAGAAGACCATGTTCCATGACAAATCAGCTGGTGAACTCCACGTCCATGTTGTCGGATGGGAGACATGTTCTGCCGGATGCTGAAGACAAATGCGAACGAACGAGCATTAGAAAGACCGATTGCATCTGGCAGCACGTCGGTGCAAACGAGTGGGGAACAGGAAAGTCATGGCCTACAGACTCAAATATGGCCTACATTTGGTGGTTCTTGGTGGTGAATGCGGAGACTCGAGTCACGAACCCGAGTCTAAGCGTCCTGGTCAGACGAACTGCCCGGATGGAGAGGTGGAGAGGTGCATGCGACGTGAGCTTACTCTATGCACTGTCACTGAGGACTGTCCATTCGAATTAGTGCATTTTCACGGTGAACTCCGCCTTTCCAAAACATCCCGTTTTTACACCAAAGTAACCCTGCTGTCAACATTATCCAACAACCTGTTTTTGTTGCTTGAACACTTGCATGTTCATGGTGAAATGGGCCCCAAATCGTCCGGAAGTCGAGGACACGTTCCACATCCAAGGAGATCCCAAGTCTAACAAGGTTCCACATCCATATATAATTTACCTTGATGCCATGCGTATACAGTATTATACCGTACCGTATATCTGTACAACAGCCTATTTTCGTCTGCAAGTGGACGTGGAAGGTGAGCGAAGGTGTCGCACAAACCCTATAGTGACCCTTTTCCGTCACCCTGGTGGGGAAGGATTGATAGAACTCAATCAACCACGACTTCCTTCCTGGCTAGTTTTGAACGTCCACATTCTATCTGAGGATGATTGCTATATCCACTCCTGGAAAATTATGGAACAATAACCTTGCTCCTCAACTTCTTGTTGGGAAACACACGCCCAAAAAGATCCAAACGGTAGCAACACAAACTCTGAGATGTAGGCTGGTTGCTGAGTACAGGGCTGTCACACAAGCCTCGCAAAAAATATCCGCCAGTTAGCTGAGCATGGACATACAGGCTCCTCCAACATATTGCACATAGTGCATCGTTCAAAAATCGAAAACGGCCCACAGGTGTGTTGGACAAAAAACATGGCTATTCCACTGGTGTGTTTTACTACCGCTGTGGAAGCTTGGCCACATCCAAGCAACAGTGGGCTTCAGAGAGGACCTTTCCAAGAGAAGTGAACAAGGCTCTTGACATGAGTGCAACAAAAACCAGCAGGGTCAAGTTTGTGCCCTGCTCCAGAAATGGGAGGGTACATCTTTCAAGGCCATTTGCTGAGAGTCCTAAACTCTTTGAATCACTTCTGAACTTATGCCGAACTTCACTGAAGGAGCATGTGGGAGGCCCGTCGAATCCGTTTGGGAGGCACGTCGAATCCGTTTTGGCACGTCGATGGTTATTTTTTCAGAAAGGGCATGTGGACAAGGGATGTCCTACACATGAAACAAGAAAAGGGCTCCAAGGCCCCGGTCGGAATCGATGTTTATCTTATGTGAGAATCCATTGTTGAATCAACTGTACTGTAGCTTCCCCTAGGGCTCCAGTCGTACACACCCCAGTCCCACCCAACAGAAACGAAGGTACGGTTTGAGCCCCCAGAATTTGGCCAACTCCTAGGGTTTCGATACGTAGCCAATCGCCCTTTGGATCTGAAGTGTTGGTTGGAGGGACACTCAGTAGGTGCGCGAAGAAGCAACAAACTGGATGATGGTCCTTCAAAGGCGGTGCCCATCCACTCACTGAGGGTCCTTAAAGCAAACACTCTACTAGGGTTTTTTGAGTCCCATCCAGTGAGTGGATGTTGTGGGCACACCGACTTTCTCCGTTCGTTCGGCACACCTGTGTATTGCTTCGCCATGATTGAACTTTACCATGTTGACACCACTCTCCAAAAAATCATGAATCGTCACGGAGCATCTATATAATTTATGACTTATTCAATGTTGATTCTTTTTGAAGGCTGCCACTCCATGGCTATTTCGATCTTTTTCGTGTTCCTTCTCTCCTTTCATGAGGCCGCGGGCAGCTCCTCTGGCTCCGCTTCACTCGCGCCAGCTCTGCGGCGGAGCAGGTGGGGGAGTGCGTACACGAGGAGGGCTGCCAGGCCATGGACCTCAGAGCGGGCTCGACGCCGGGCCCATGGGGTCAGTCGATCTTTTTCCAGAGAACGGGGTGAGACCGTTGGAAGAAAAGTGATGTGCAAATGAATTCCCCAAGATCCAGAAATGGTGGCGAACATCTATATGCAAACATCAAATCCTTGGAGTCCCTGCAAGAGCCCCCGGAATAGGCGAGGATGGCCAGTTAAAGAAGTAGCTGGCTGCCACCGACGTATCTACATGATAATGTACGACCAAGAGGTGGCTGGCTAGTACTGATGAGTTTCTTATGCCAAACGTATCAGCATCAAGAGTTATTGTTTGGATCCTGATCCACCCTGCATTGGAGGATCTTCTACGGGCCTCTACTGCAGCGAGGCCCACAAATCCAGTGTAGGTGTAGCACCCTGGAGCACCAGGCATAGTGCATAGTTGCTCCATCTTGCCCATCCAGTCACCATCATCCCATCAACCCTGGTTCAACCCTTCAACCCCTCGTGACGGGCCTCTCCCCCTCGTCCCAGGTGCTGAAGCAGTAGCCAAGGACGCGCCAAGCCCTGCATCGTAGCATATCGGCGCCAAGGTCTGAGTGGTCCTGGCTCCAGTGGGCCCGGGCCCCGGCCATGTGGAGTGACGAACACTGCACCCAAAATCCATCTTTTGGGGTTGAAGTATTTGGACGAAATGAACTTGTCGATGTTAGAAGCTCAAACAGTACAGCAACCCACATGCTCCATGGAAGGAACTCCTACATGACTGATCATCACTGACCGGGTAGGTTTTGGGATGCAAACTGGGTGAATGTGCAGCTCACACTGTAGGTCAGCATGATCATATTGACCACCCTCCTAAGATTCTCCGGAGGATTGTTCCTACATTACCCAGGTTGGATCTCCGACTCCGATGTGAAGCGTGGACCCGGTCCGTCGTGAGGAGCGGCTTCTAGGGCAGGAGACGTGGTGAAGGCAGCAAAAACAGGTTCAACGGAAGCAGAAGCACGGAGAGCCCATCTTGGGCTTTGACGCGAAGTAGTTCAAGCAGTGAATCCCACAACACAAGTTTGTGCGTGTGTTGATTTAATTTGTATGTTGGTCAGGCAGACTTGAAGTTCCTGACCTGATAGTGTGAAAGCAGTCCCACCACGTTCTTGTCAAGTTCTTGTCTGTGAACTCTTACATTCCCTAAGGCTCTCCGCATCTGGAAGTTCCCTTTTCGATGAAGATTCCCCATGGCTCCAATTGAATGACAATCTTGACCGGACCCCAACCCTTGCAGGTTCCATCTGATCATGCCAGGGTGAGAGTATCTGAAGGGGCAACCCGCAAAACGGGAGGGCCATTTTAAGAAGATCGACCGCCTCCTGATGTTGGTGGATCTTCTTTTCGTTCTCCCTACGCTGGCGATGTTGCTGTTCAACGGGTCAGGTCGTGAGATTTGGGGGGCTGAGAGTCATCAGGTTTCCCTTGACCAAAATTGCCCAAACCCAGACCCTCCAAGAGAGGTTGAGAGAGCTGAACTGGGACCCGATGGGCTATATGTTGTGTGCTCGGCTCTATGGCACACAAACCCTAATAGCAATGGCCTCCAACCTAAGAGTGATGGCCTCCAACCCAATAGCGAAGGGCTCCAACCTATTAGCGATGGTCTCCAACCTACTAGCGATGGCCTCCACCCTAGCGAGAAGTTCAAATCCGCCCCAGGCGCAAGTTCATCACCGTGAAAATCATGGTAATGGCCACCGTCGCTTTGAGATCCTCCGTCGACCCGCGACAAGACACGGAGAAATCGACGGAGAGAAACCACGACAGAAGTTGAGGTCAGATCGTTTTGGGATGGAAGATCTAGCCTCCCCAGGGATCCACCTATACCTTCTCAGAAGGTACTTGGACCCTCCCAGCCTACATGAAGGCGTCTCCAATCACGCTCTCAAGGGGTATGTGGATCCATAGGGTCTGCATGGAAGAAACAATAATCACTGCACACTAGTGTGGCCACAGCATTCTGTTGCGGCACTCTGTTGGTGGGGTGTCCATCTGAGGTGGTGCAGGATCTTCATAACTGCAACACATGATGGTGGTGAGTCCCTGAAATTGGACCAAAACTTTTTGGACTATCCACCGGAACGCCCTTAGTATACATTATGTGTTTCTTCTCAGCTTCCGGAAGTTGCCGGGAGATGGCAGGTTAACGGTTGACGTTTAAATCGGGAAGTTGGCTCCCAAACACGGTGTGAAGGTTGAGCACCTTCTACTGCAAAAAAACATGTGCTCCTTATGGACCGGAGGTGATTGGAATCCTTTCCAGGACATCCTTGTAAACCCTTTCAGGGCCACTTCATTTTGATCCTTGACTCAGGTCCTCTTTCTGGGCTCACGACCAAATGACTCGCAGGCTTCGCAGGTGTCGGTTTTTATGCTGGAATGGTTACATGCCCTAGCGGCCCGAGCGCCATGCAAGCCCAAAACAACAACCCCCCAGACTTCTGTATTGTAACGCATTATCTAACTTGGGCAATGGAGACAAGCTCTTAGAGGCTATCCAACTTTCACTCACTTTCGTACAGCTGGGCCATGCTGGGGGCCCTTCTGGGCCATGCTGGGCTGGGATCGCCGCCCACCAGCCATGTCCTTTAGGGAACAGTTAGTTGTTCACTTGGGGGTGTCCCCTCTATTCATCAACCGGCCATCTATGGTGCCCACCCCGAGTCCCGACCACCATCGGTCGGGTCAACGACTTTGGGTGCCCAAGGTGCCACCCAAGTCGTCTGTCTGCGGTGAGCGTAGCGGTGCGCCAAGTCAAAGGAAAGCTTCACACAAATCTGCCGACCAAGGACCATCCCGGAACGACCGGAGGCAGGGTGGGGCGCGAGGTTCCGACGGACGGGTCGCAGGGTGGGTCGGTCGTAACTCAGGGGAGTACCAACGGTCGGATGAACGGACCGGGTCTGGACCGTGACACCAACAACTGCGTTTGCGGGTGCATCCGGACTGAGTCCCATGGCATCTCTACCAAGAACGCTGTCCGAAGTCCAGAGGCTGGCACTCTGAAGGCCCTCTAGCCAAAGGCCCGGACGTGCAACTGGTTATATCATATTTGCTGAAGCTGGGGCTTTAAAGCAATCTATGGAACATTTGTTATGTACCGCCGTCACTCTATAGATGATCTCACTCTAGTCTTGGTGCCTGGACCTCAGAGTGAGTTTCTGGAAGTGAGACTTCCGCGGTGTGGGATATACCGAACCTCAGGAAGTTTGGACAAAACCTGGTTGGCCCTGGCACACCAACAGGGGGTGGAAACCTCACATGAATGCCCACCAGCAGCTACTATAAATGCTAGGACTCTGCTACAGCAGGCCTATCGCTGATGTAAGGTATGCAGGAAAAGCATTGAACATCAATTCTACGCAATGCAACTTCACCCATGTGCTTCCGGAGCATGCGTTTCATGATTCTTCATGTTTTTTTCTCTCTGCACGGGCAACGGTACGACCAACACGGCAGGCGCACCAGCAAACAAAAATACCGAGGCAAGCCCTTGGAGAAAAAGTGAGAAGCGACCTGGCAAGTGTGAGCAAGGGCGCTGCGACCGCATGGGTTCCACTATGCTTGGGATGAATCTGGCGCTCACTTGGGAACGAAAAGTGTCAAAACGTTGGCAAAAGTGTGGGGGCTAAGCTGGAAGGCACACCATGTAAGGGAAACCTTATGTCATATGGCTCTGGCTGAAGAGTAGTCCAGTGTGGCTGTGGGGTGTGGGGGTGAGCTCAGCCGTATACAGTTGGACCTTTAAACCTTTGCCGGTTTGGAGTGTTGACCCATGTTGACCCCATATTCACCGTCTTGAGACTTGGGGGACCCACAGCATCTTGCAAGCATTCTTCCTTCCTCGCGCGACCTTCCCGCTAGCAAAAAGATTCGGTAAAAGGTCACGCGAAATGGTCATGTGAAATGAACATGCAGTTGTCCGAACGCGGGCCGCAGCTTCTCGGCCTCCCAGATTTCGGATACATCCAATACACGAAAGTCTCGCATCCCTGTGGAACTCGGGTCTTGACCAACTCCCGCCTCCTCCTTGGTGGAATGGCCCTCAGCCATCTGCATGGCCAAGGCATAATCGATGTACAGCCCAAGGAAAGGGAGCACCATGGCATTGTAGAAGGAGAACCTGGGAGCTGGAACCAACACATGTATGCCGTCTCCAAACAAACACCCAAAACCCTCGGAGTGTCCAATTAAGTCAAAAAAGATTCCAATTATGTAAACTTGGATCACTCATCATTGAAGTGACACTGTGGTGCACTGTGGGACCGGGATTGGCGCTGGGACTCATCTAGCTCGGGGCATCATGACATCACCCCAGCCAACAACGACGAGAGGCCCACTTTTGATCACATGTCATTTGCAAAGTAAACGGCAAATCCAGCAGCTTTCGGATATGGTTGAGATATATAGAATGTGTGGTGACCACGATACGAAATCAACCTGAAATTTATTTCAAGCTGTTCCGCAAAGTAGGCTCAGGAAGGAGGCTGAAGAAGGGGCGCTTACAGTAGTGTATACAGTATATAGACTGTTAATGAATTGTTAATGAATAAAACATAATAAAACCATTGTAGAAAAGGATGGTGTATTCATCAACTGTCTACATTACCTTCAAACCCCATGCCCTCCCCAAGTTGAGCTTCGGCATCGGTCCCACGTTGAGCTTCGGCCCCTGCTCCAACTCCTACTTTCTGTTGGAAGTCGAGTGAAACTTGCTCTCTCTCTCTCTCTCTCCCTCTCTCCCCCTCTCCCTCCCAGATAGGCCCCCCGCCCCGCGCCCGAGGGCAAACTAAGAACTAAGAACCGTCAAAAAACAAAAACACAAAGCAAACATGCACGAATTTACGTGTTTTTTGAGTGTTTTTCCACCCTTCATGTGTCTGTCTCCTTGTATTTGTCGGTCCTTCCTCTGTTCAAGTGGTCTCGCCTACCAGGGCCTACCAGCTAACCTTGCCGGCGACCAGGCTGGAAGGCTCAGCCATAGACTCAGCCAGGAAAGAATCTTTGACTCAGACCTTTGTGGGATTTGAGACAGGGCTCCAGCTCAAACATCTAATTATCTAGGAACAAGAATTCCAAACCACACTCTGGATTCACCCTGCTCCATCTCACTGCTCGCTTCCAAGCGACGGCAAATGCAAAGATTCGAAGCGTTCGAGAAGCTCCTCCCTCACCGGACCCCGCACATAGCGGGTAAAGCCATCAAGACCACCATACCTCATGTGCGATAGGTGTGCAAGGGTATTTTGAACTTCTGTAGGACTTGTGTCAGCCGCGTACTGTTGGGCCTTCCTATGGGAGTGCAAAGAGTGACCGCAAAGGTTTCTCGAGCACAGCACTGGCACCAGAAAAAGATCTAAGCCACTCCAACGCCACTTTGGGGCATCAAAAGTGCCCCACGGACGCCGCCAGCGCGTCCAGGGGTTGAACCGTTCGGACGGGCTTTCGGAGGACCACCAGAGAGGTGAAGCAAACAACATGCGACCGGCAGGGGCTAAGAATCCTTGTGATTCCCAAACTAATTTGATGTCACTTGGATGTCTGCAAATGCACCATTCCCTCCGATTCCCTCCCCTGACATTTGGCCACCTGCAATTGACATGTCGCCTGTCAGACCCTTCCAAATGCAGGTGTCAAAGCACCCCCGGCGCAAACGCCCAGAAGGCTCCCGGACGCGTCTCCGCACCGAGGTACCAGCCCTCGATGGCCGAGGTGACAAAGGCTCGGTCAAAGGCGTCGCTGCAGCTGACGCCGTCCATGTCAAAGGCCGCGAGGTCCGCCAGGGCGGAGCGTTGCCTCGAGCGAGGTCGGTAGAGGATGCTTTTGGGGTTGAAAAAAATAGAATATGTAAGACGGAGTGCACGCTACTGCTCTACAGGTCAAGCAACCTTCACCCAGCTATATAAAAGGATCTCTCGTTCGTAACAGCACCCAACTGGCATGGTGACATGGTACTTTGGGTTTCGTCATGCACAACATGTCACATGCAGGAAATATAACGCAAGCCAAAGAACGCCCAATGAAGGACCTTAAGAATCGCAACCTGAACTCTGATCCTCTAAAATTTTGTCTCTTTTTATTGACCTCACCCGCCAAAAAGAATGCCCCGTAACTGAGATGGGGGAGACCATGAGACGCTGGTCCAAGCAGCTGCCGCCAGCGCCGTTGGAGGTGCCAAATCAAGACCACCAGGATGATGCAGTCCTGACGACCACGCGGACCCGCCCCGGGTCGGAGAGGGTCGTCTTGACCGCGGCAGCAACAGTGTCAACCCAATTGGAAACGACAGGACACTCCCATACATTTGGGAGGTGAAAACCAGCGTGGCCGCTAAATGTTCCGTTTAGCCCATCTACAAGTGTAAACCAACCTGAATTTGTTGATCCTGACCAAACTGAAGCAATCTTCCAACCACATGACAAACTCCAGGCCTGCTTCCTGGCCCCCCTGCAACCATCATCCCCGTGATAAACAAGTTTGACACAAACAGGAAGAAGCCACTTTCACGGTGCTGACTATACCTGATCCTTTACTTGTGCCCACAGGATCCGCGGAATGCGCGCCCAATCCGCCGGGGCACCACAGTAATTCCAACCGCTCGGACACCCTCAGTGTCGCTGGGGCGCGGTGCTGGAAGCATTCAAGATGAGTAACGCGGAGGAGGGCGAACCCCGTGAGTTCTGCATGTGGGAGGGAATCCATGAGCGTGAACCTACCCACGTGATACAGTGGTCCGTGCATCACAAACAGCACTGAGATAATCCATACGTATTACGTGACGTAGTTCCAATGAATGAAGGACATGGATCATCAACCACTTCCCCAACTGTGCGAAAGAATATGCATGAGCCGCTTGTAGGGATGGCGGCCTCTATCACTATAGGGGGGTATCCCCACATCTGATCCCAGTCTTAGGCCTTCCAAACTGAGACAGTCCAGGTGCCAAAAGCAACTCGGCGACGGATCCCGATCCCAAAAAGCTGGAGATCCGAGAAGGCGGGCCCACGTTGGGCTGTTCGATGTTCGTTGGCCTTTCGTTGTTTAAACCGCGGTGATTCCAAAGGACGGTGCGAACCCCGGTGAGTTTCATCGGGAAAACTTGCGAACCTTTGGCCTTGATGATTTCACCTACGCACCATTTTGTACCACCCAAATGTAAGGTCATGTACAATGTACGGTCATAGTTGCTTACATGGACCGTCTGTGCACAGGCCCCTGGAAGACCATTCGTTCCAAACAGGAGGTTGTCCTCTTCCATGTTTAGGGTGGAGTGGAGGTAACATTTGAACCTAAAAGCAAGATACAGTAAGAACTCTTTTGCTCGTTTCTGTCAGAAGCTGGTAATGAAATCTCAGCTTTGATAAACAATAGCTGCGATTCAAACACAATTATTTAGTTTAGCTGTGGCTGTCAATACTGTGTTTTAGCCTTTACCTTTCATAAACATGCCGAGAATCAACTATCATTGAGCTGATAGTTTTAGCTGGCTGCGATAATACTATTTAAACAACACAAACATAATCGCAGCTGAGACAGACTGAGTCGAAGCTGTGATCCAGCACCCAATTAAATACTATATTACTAAATACTAAAAGACCAGCTATACATACATTATAAATAACATATTTAATATATATATATATCCATAAAAGATATATACAAATAAATAACAAAACAACAAAAAAAAAGCAAAACCGTAAAGCCAAACAAACATGAAAAACACATGCAAATTAATAAAACAAATAAAGAACGGCCATCGCTCTTAGGTTGGAGCCCATCGCTCTTAGGTTGAAGCCCATCGCTAGTAGGTTGGAGGCCATCGCCATCACTGGTGCGACTCCTATAGAGTGTTTTCCGGCGTCGAGGTGTTGTCCGGCGTCGGTGTCGATGCAGCTCAAGTGGCCGAGATGGTGGGAAACTGTCGTTCCGTGAGGTCAATCAATTGGGCCATGAAGCCAAAACACCTTGGGGCTGGGGAAGGACGTTGCGAACATCACATGGCTATCACCAAATACCGCAGCTTGGTGGGCAGGTTTGGGGGGTTGGGCATGTTTTCAGGGTGCATGTTGACGAAACTTCTGGCTTGTGACCTGGACTTGGTGCCTCAAAGCGCTCACGAGAACACGAAGCGTTTCCCATCGTCTCCCTGTCGCACAGCATCGGCGCCACAGTCGCTCATGGTCTCGGGGTCGCCCGTCGCTGGGGCTTTGGGGGTCTCACTGGAAGAATCAGGGAAAAGGAAAGGTGAACATGTTTTGTGGAAGTATGCAGCGTCCAACATGTTGCGAAGGAGGCGAACCCAGTTTTATGATCTGTGTCTGTGACCCTGGAATTCTGCCAAGCAGCGTAGCAGTGAGGACCAGGTTTTCAACGAAGACCGGCTGGAAAGTAATGTGTCCTGAAGCAGGATAAAAGACCATGAGAGTTTGCATAGATCTCGTTCTTTGCAAATTGAATTAAGGCAAATATGACACTGGCCTAAGACAGCACTGAGCTTATTAAGTGACTTGACTTGTTCGCTTGTTGCAGGGCGACTATCGGCTCTTGCCGTGGGCTCTCCAGATATCCACATCGCTTGCGGCATAGATTCCAACATCCCGGTTGAGATTTCGTAGGTGACCCTGTGGCCCCACTTTTGTAGTCACAATTCATCGGAACATGGGTTGGTGTTTACAAAATAGTGGGAATGCAAAGTGGTTTGATATAAATTGATTGGCTCTTAGTTCGTAATTGATGTCTTAAAACATTGTTTATACTACGGATTTGCTGTATTATTCGACATTTGAAGTTGGAAAGATTGCTAAAATGCAGGGGGTGTAGCCAAGCATGTTGTATGTAGAGACGCTGGAGCCCTACCAGCCAAAGTGTGACGATGAGTCCCAGCATTTCATAGTAGAGACCAAAAGGTTAAGATCCCATCAGCTTGTTTGAAAAAAAACCGATGGATCCCACGTGCATGATTTCATAGTGGTTTTAGACTGCCTCGCACACCAAGATTTTGTAATCGATGCAAACGGGAAGCAGCAAAAGCATAGTGTACATTCATTTTGTAAAGACTTGGTGGTCTCAACAAATAGGAAAGGTCAGCGGGTCTGGAATAAGCAAAGAGCTGTCATTTTGTAGAGCCAAAACACTCTCAACTAAGAGCTGTCATTTTGTAGAGCCAGGGCACTCTCAACAATACGGACCATCGTTTTGGAAAATCAGTGGATCATGTAGGCTTCAACAGGCTTCAACCCAAAGAGAGAGAGATCCAGGAGATCCGGAGATAACAATAGAAGAGAGCAGATGAGACTAGAAAATACTAGATAGGAGTAGGTACAAGGATCCTGAAAGATACAAGATCAAACAAGAGCTATCGTTTTGTAGAACAATAAGAGCTCCAAATCTCGAAGGGACGCCCATCAGACAGAACAAATAGGAAAGGTAAGCGGGTCTGGAATAAGCAAAGAGCTGCATAAAAATTATGTCTGTCGACACCCCGTTCCTTCTCTACAAAGTGGTTGGATGGCTGTGGCTTTGTGAGAAAATGTGTTTTTTAACAAAATGGCCGTCCATCCATTTAACAGCCAACATGATTTCTCTACAACATGAGGGCTACACCGTCATAATTTGATATTACTACAAGGTGACAGGCCTCATCGTCACTTCAGGGGTCTAAAAATAACGCTTTATACGGGCCCCAGGGCCACTCGTTTTATGTAGGACATGTTGACCCCTAGATTCCAACCATTTCCAAGTCGAGTGCATATCAACCTAGATCTGCATGGTGGCACATCGAAGCCCTAGGCTTTTTGTGCAGTTGATCATCTTGGATACCTCGCGATAGATCGAAATGGTCAGGTCACCTGACCACGAAATGGTATGTTTGGAGGTCGCATCGCGTCGTTTCCCAGGGTGTTCTGTTCAAATGTTTGGACATGGTGGGAGGGTCCAGTCACAGCTTCACGGCAATGAAGCTAGGACATGCTACGACTAGATGCCTAGGGCATATCTTCTTTTTCTCTCTCTCTCTCTCTCCATGTATATATATATAGAACTACCACATATATACATTATTATGTGATAGTTGGGGTTGACAGTACCTTGAAGATCCCCAAGCTGAAATCTTCCGTTTCACTCCCGGCAGTCGCCCCACTCTCACGACCCGTGCCATGCTGCCAGCAGCACCATGCAGCACCGAGTTCCATGATAACATGATGAACAAACAACTGCTCCTCGGGCCCACCATATGCACCTTTGTGTTAAACACTGGACCATTTTTCTTTCTCCCCCCCACCGATGATTGGCTGATCCGCACGGCCGTGGTCCTTCAGGATTGGCGGTGCGGTATGCGGCCAATTCGAAAACGCACCAAAGCCTCCTAGGGACCCGGTGCCGATGAAAGGAAAGCCAACGGCCAACGGTTCTTTTGGCGATGAAAGGATGGAGAGCGACCAAATCATGCGTTTGGATTGGGTTCGATAGATGCTGGTTTCAAGACAAAACAGTTCTTCAAAACTTCTATGTCCTACGTCCTTCTATACCAGGATCCTCCACCAGGTGGTTTTTGAACCCTAACTGGAGATTTTTGGACTCCTGTTGTCACCAAAAAGCACCTGTTGGAAGATTTTTTTGCGGGCTCGTCCAAGTCGTGTCCAAAAACCATCCCCAAAAAACACTAGCACTATATTCACTAACAAGGTCAAATCTTCTTCGTCCTCGATCTACTTCATGACAATGATAGGTGTTCCGTGTGGCGTGAAACCTCACCAGCTGAGAAACGTGGACGTTCACCAGCTCCCCAGCTCAAAGCAGCTCAGTCCGTGGTTCTGATGGTTTCTGCACGGTCCACGTCCGGTCCACGTGGTGATTGGGCAACAAACGTGGGTTTGAGGACGATGACGTATAATGACCTGGGGCACCTCCTGCCACAACCATATATTAAGGATCATGAGTCTTTAAACTCCAACTGCCAAGCCCCCAGATCAAGCCGCTCTGAAAACAGCAACGCGGAATCCGGCGCGGAAAGCACTTTGAGGTCCAAAAAGCAATGTAGAATTGGAATTGATTCACCAGCTGGTCTGACCGACTTTACTCTTCCAGCATTGCCTGACCAAAGCAAAGCTTTCCTTTGAGGCTTTCTTGGAAGGACTAACTTCAAACTAGAGATTTGATTAAAGTGATGCTGGATGCAAAACCTGCAGATGGGGCTGCCCACCATTGGTTCCCCATGTTTTTTTTTGCCCTGGGACTGAGCCCCTGATGTTCTGATAAATCTGATTCACACCTTGAAAGTGAAGAGGGTAATTAGTAAGATGTAGCAAGCAGTGTGTGATACTTTCCCATCCCACGATGTTGGTCTCCAGTTCCAACCCAACGCCGCAGCCACTTGTTCTCCGGGCGAGTCACGAGAAATAGGGCGGGCTCCACAGAATCCGCAGCTCTGTACTCACGGACAGCCAGCCTCCAATGCCATAAACGCCACGCTCCTTCAACTCCGAGTCCGTTTGGTCAATACAAACCATGTCCTGCGAGCTGATAGCCACGGGTGAGAGACTGTCTGATGGGTCAACGTGACGGCCACGCCGTGGACGAGGTTGGCTCTGAAAGACCAGGCGGGTAAGGAATTGGTAGACTTGTTTGTTCTCGCCGTCTCGCCAGCCATCCGAGAGGCAATGCGTGACACACAACCTTGATCGAACATTCTTGAAGAGAGGCCTAAACAATTGAAAAAATGCTGAACACAATTTGAACACCTATGCCTATGACCTTTAGTCAGGTGTCTTGACTATAAAGCTCCCTTGACAAACGGAACCCAGAAAACGCGTAAACTAAATCCAAACGGAATTGATCGTGAGTTGTTCGACTTCCCATTCCATCACCGCCCATGCTCCCATTCCATCATGAGACGGGCTTCTCGTGACTCCGGTTGACCCCTTGAGGTCGTGATGACCAACGTTCAGCGTACGCGTCGTGATGACCAAATGAGGCGTTCTGAAGCGTTGAAATATGCTAGAGTGTTGCAAACAAATAAAACCTAGGCTTGCAAGTAACCTAGAGTGCTGTTTGCAAGGCCACAAAAAGACTATTGTATAGTCTTCCTGCACTCGTCCCATCTGTAAAGCTTGCCAAAAGGCACCCCCATCAACAATACTCCTTTGGGCTGCTGATTCTCCTCCCCAAATCTAGGACCGAGCTCAACACCAAGGTGACCCTACCCTCTCTTCATTGCAAGGCTCCAAGAAGCAAAGGGAGGACCCAGCGCAGCTGAAATAGGGAGCGGTGCAAAGGCTGATCATGCCGCCCAGAAAGCCTCAAGCAACTTCGATTCCGGATTGCGAGGGCCCCTGGCTCGTCCTCATGGAAGCTCTTAAACCGCAATCACGACCTGTCTGGGACTGCCAGATTTGCCGATCAGTTGTCAATCTAGGCAGAATTACTGTAGGCAAATATTTATGGAGTGTCTGGGTAAAGGGTACTGAAGGGTGCGAGGAAGCTGAAAATAAAACCGAATGACCTGCTGTGGGTCGGCAAAAGGCTTCTGAATCCTGGCTAGTGCTTGCATCATCTGACAACAGGTGATCAACAGCTTGGCAAATTATCCTGATAGTAATTTACTAATAGATCATGACGTTCCAGGATCGTCAATTTGCTTGGCCCTCACACTGCGGTTTATTCAGATAGCTCTTACTTGCGAAAACGACAAAATCATCCCGAGCTTGACTCCAGTCCAGGAGGTTTGTCAAAAGATTGGTTGGGCTCAGAAGTTTTGCGGTGACTATCCTCCAAATAATAGAAAATTGCGCACAGGGTGTAGAGTACGGTCACGAAAATGGAAGCCCCCATGAAACACCCCAACACACACAAACACACAGCCTTTTTCACTTTGCCTGGTGGGCCCCCATACACAGCTAAAACCATCAACATCTGCATTGTGCAGGAAAACAGTCAGCTTCGCACATCATGTTGGCCACGGGTGCCAACTCCTTTTCTTCAAGGCTCCTCTGTCTCCAGGATCAGGCGGACCTTCGAGCCCAAAAGCGTCCCCAAAGCGATCCCCGCCTCGCCGTCTCCCTCCCCGTCGAGAAGGTCACACCGAGGGGCCGATCACCGTGACCCAGGGGGCCCAGGGGAAGCACACGTCACTGGGGCTTTTGCCCTCCGGCACCTCGGCGCGGCGCGGGGAGTTCCCAAAAAGCGAGTTCCCTCCAGCACGCTGGTCAAGCTCAGCCCAGCGGAGGCGACCAGGTCAATGGTTTGAGACCCTACCCCCTTCAACCCCCCCGGGGCAATGCCAGTGGGTCGCGGATGGTCGCGGATGGAAGGAGAGGGCAACGGCGGATGGTCTTCGCATCTGTGCGGCGGTTGGGTGATGCGCCGTTGGCACCCCCGAAACGTGGAAGGACCCCAATTGTAGTCCTATGGAAAGTTCCTATGTACACCGGCTCTTTGGAAGTTCACCGCTAGCTTTCACCGCTAGCTTGCTTCATGTTGGTAGGCTATTGGTAGGTGCACAGTCCCGAGTCTGCACATACATCAGAGGCAAAGGAACTGGTTCTTGTGTGCCTTCTCCGTCCCTGAGGCGATGAAATCCTTCCTCTTGGCGGTGCTCCCCTAAAGCAAGTACATGGATCTCACAAAAGTAATGACGGTCATCAGTTGGAAGAACATGGCAAATTTGTGATGTGTGACATCCCAAATTCAGCTGCATAACATAGCTAACTAAGGTATCTTCCATGCTCCATCTATCTCCACATGAAACCCTCTTCAATCCTGACTGCCATCGAAACCAAGCAGCCGGGTGGTCGATGTGGTCAAACAGCTCCCACTCGAGGGTCCTGGTCAAGACCTCAAATCCGCTCAAGGTGCTGCTCATGGGTCGGGACAAACCTAAGCTTTGGACAGGTCGGGACCTTTCAGGGGACTTGGTAGAAATCCGGTCCTCCGGATGTCTACATCTGAAAAAACATCTTCTATATCCTCACTTCATAAGAAGTAAGACTTAAGCCTTGGCTGAGGCTTAGGAAACGACCGATGCTCCCTCGCTCCTGGCCATGGGGCCGAACGCCCCGAGCGTTTGGTGTGCGGCAACGGTTCTGAAGTCAATGAGTCTGAAAAGCCCAAGATGTGTATGCAAAAAAGAAAAAGATGCATGAATTGAAAAGAACACACTTTCATGGACTCAAATCTTTGCATTTGTTCATCAACGAGTCTCAAAATATCTCAAAATGCGTTGCTTTTGGAGGGACAACGGTGGGGTAGTGTCCTTAAGATTAGCTTAATTTAGACATATCATGGGATAACCACCCATCATCCACCCATCGAATGCATTCCGAAATGCATGCTGCGAACAGGGCATAGCTTGACTGTGAGAACAGGGTGCCAGCGGCTATGATAGCGTTCTCTTTCAGCTCCGGTGTCCAATGAAGATCTCTAAGTAGTGTAGGGAAGTCCATTGGACACCCAGAAAGGATAGCCGTGGTACATCCCCTCCATTTGGATTGTAAAACCTCTTCAGAGCCTCTTCACAGGATTTGATCAACCATCTACCGCGGCATCCCCTTCCACGGGGTCAATGAAAACGTCAATCCTGGATGCTATCTGGATGTGCATTTTAATAGGGAGACTTTGTGGGCAAATGGGTATGTGAGTCATTTTTCGTCTATTTCCCTTCTTCCAAGGCATCGAACATGGGAGGTCTCTCTGTTTGAGCTACGCGCGTGGGATCGGGGCGTCGGCCGCCGAGGAGCAAGGATGATGACGAGAACGGTGCCCACGAACCAGCCCAGGACGAATTTACTGGCATGACCTGGGCGACCCCAAGCAAAAACAAGGTAACACATGCATTGAGGTCGTGTGATCGTGGTTTGGGAAAAGGCTGTTGTTGGCTGTTGGTGTGTCTTCCAAGTCGCAGCCTCAAACTGATGTTCTAATCGTTGTTTGCTCCTTGCAGTGGGAATCCAGCATGACAGCGTGACCTGTGCAATCCCAGGTGCATCGCAGCAGCATGGACCAGAACTTGCTGGCTCCTGTCAAGGGTTGTGTCTGTGCAAGCCATGTGGTGGGATATATTTTGGCGAGTGTTCCCAGGCAGAGCCTGGGAAGGCTAAAATGAAACTTTGTTTCTTGTGAAGCTTCGAGGGTATTGTCAAACCCAGCCCTGCAAAAGCGAAAGCAAATCAGTTCATGCAGGAGTGATGCAGTCTTTCGATCGCAATGGTACATCAACAGAATAACAAGTCTTGCACAGTTGGGCGACCGCTCCACATAGCTGTGGGTCAAGAGTCAACAAACCTGAAACACAAATCACTTCCAAAAGGGTCCAACTCTTATGTTTTGCACAACTTTTGGGTCCCCACCCCGATCTGGAATGTACCGTACCAATTAAAAGACTGAGCCATGCGAAGCAGGACCTCTGCCATTCCTAACCAGGACTCAGTGTTAAGGCTCAAAGGGGTAGAGCACCCAGCCGAGCAATGCCGAGATCACGAAGTAGATCATGCAGAGATGGAAGTTTCTGGGCTTATAAAATAATTGTCCTTCGTTACTATGAAATGAAGATGATCAGTGAGTAATTCTTGGGGTCCAAGGTTCAGATTCATATTATTCATATGGTGAAGGGACTGAAAGCTCATCGGTGGACAGTGAAGAGGAGTACAGTATGAGCACTGGTGGTGGATCTCCTCACTCTTCAGACTCCTGTCTGGATGCGCCTTATCCTTTGAAGATAGCACGCAAAAGAATGAACCTTGGAAGATCTTGGAAGCATACTTAGGTTCCTTCCACCCTTTTACAAACCTCCTGACCACACATTTGCCACTTTTTTCCCTCGAGCTCTCAGGAGTGAAGAGCATCGGCCAGAGCCAAGCCTCACAGATGCGCAGAAGCGGTATCTCTCTGGATGGGGGTACGGCATGGTCCAACAAGCAGGCAGGGTCTTCAAACAGCATGAACATGAGTGTTACTCGGTTCCAACACTTCCTGACCTTGAGGGCTCCTCAACTTCTTTGACGCTATGAAGTTCCCCATAAGCCTGATGTCAGATTGCAGTGGAGCTGAAGGCTTTTGGTGGGCACTCAAGGAGCTAGTGCCACATAAGACAAGATTGGTGTCATCGTTTCTAGGCATTAACTTGTTTGCCCCTTGAGATTTATCAAGAAGTGAGGACTGGTTGCCCTCACATGTCCTCACATCCAAGGTGTGATATAGCCATTGGACCCCTGAAGTTCTTGATCAAGAACCTACCAAAGAACTCAATGCAGCTTGTACTGCGTGTATGATTTCCCAGTGGTCTCAATGATCCTTGTTGAGATGGGTTCCCCAGTTCAGGCTTCAACCTGGTATGGATAGCAGAAACCTTGACGAGATGGTGAAGCGTATCAACACATACTCATGCGGTTTCCCTTGCCAGCCGCAACTTGACTGCAACAAGCTTGATGGGGTGAAGTTGAATGGTTCATCTTAGTTGTTTTTTGCACTGAACCTGAGGTTCAGTGCTCTTCACAACAAGTCCAACTATATGAAGGAAGCCAGTGCACGGATCTTCTTCTTGGCCCTGGCAACAATAGCCAAGTGCAATCCCCTCGTTGCCTTGCTTGAGAATGTGGTTGGTTTGCTACGTGTTTGGGACAAGGCAAGGCCACTTGGCACCCCAAAGAACAAAGTTAACCAAATATGTTCTTTTTCAGGCATGGGCAGCCTTGCAAAAGCTGGAGAAGTATGGGTACTTGGTGGCCAAGGCAACTCTGATTCATATACACACAATGTACCTTGCAATCAATTGTTCTTTTTGGCTTGACCACGTGCTGCAAGGTGATCATCGACCCACTGGAGCTGGGGGACTACACCAGGAGAAGAGTCTACATAATAATCATCAAGAAGTCTGTGGCAATACAAGGTGTGACGACGCATGAAGACTTGCAACAGCACTGTCAAAAGATTCTGGGTGGACTTAAACAACCCAAGAACAAGGTGCCCCCGCCTCCTGGCATGTCATAAAAAGAAAGTTGAAACAACCACTGTTTGTGTTTGGAAGAAAGTCTGGTCCGAACGACTTAGCCTTGCCTAAGGACACATCTGATGTTCCCACCAGACCACTACGAGGTCAAGGAGAATATTTCTGCTCGGCGACATCTCCGGCAACAAGACTCTGAGAAAGAGAAAGCCTGGGATTGCATCTCCAAGTTCATTAGATGAATTTAAACTTCAGGGTGCAACATCAACAATTTTTAGATTAAGTTTTGGAAGCAAACAACCCTGAGGCCAAAAGGGCACTTGCCACATGGGCTTCGCTGGACCAAGAAACACTGGTGGGCAATGGAGGTTTTGGAGGCTCTTCTTAAACTTAAATCTGAGTTTGTGTTTGGATTACAAAATCAAATTGATGTGCGCAGATCAACCCAAAAGACTTGGATGTGGATGGCTATGACCATTTCATCCCTGCGTCAGCGCCATGCAGCTTGGCAGCATTCAGCTATGCTATGCAAGGTCTGCCACACAGTGTCACATCTTCCTTGGAAAGCACTCAGGCAATGGCCATCATGGAGGCCAATGGATTCAACAGCGGCATTGCAAACCTCTCCCAATCTTTGGGGCGCATGGGGCACACCCAACATGTTCCCTGCATTACGCCCAGAGGATTCTTAGTCCAACATGATGAAATGGATTCCACCAATGGTTGGGGTTTCTCAATGTTACTGGACTTGCGCTGCAGCTAAGGAGAGTTCTGGCACTTTGGGGAAAGACGGTTCTTGACAGGCCTATAATTATGTTTCCAAGCATGTTGTTAAACTAATCACTTCCAACCTGGACCGCAGAAGTGGAGAAGATGGTGTTTCAGTCCTTCCCCATCGACAAGCTTTCTCTCAAACACATGACCTCACGAGACCCTTGGTTCTTCTCGAGAGCCGCTGAGTACCATGCAGTTGAAGATTGTTTGAGTTGATATCTAAGGAAATTGAAGATTTGGCTGGAAACAGCGTGTCTTGCCGAGCGGCAGCAGCTGGATGGCTGGTGGCATTCAGCGCAGTAAGCCTTCCAAAGTGGAATGCCTTGGCTGGGACTGTATTGGACGCGCAGTGATGCACACTGAAGTGGAAAAAAACGTTCTAAACTTTCAGCGTGACTGGAAAGCTACTGTTTTGCTTTTGCATCAAACATTCTTTTGTTGATAGATAGTTCACAAGTGCAAGCTGTAGCTGATAGCTCGATTTGTTCCCACATATTCTGTACTCTTATTCATGTGCCAAACCTTCACAACACCTCACATTGGATGTAGTGACCAAAAATACATGGAGTACAAAGGGTTTGCGAAGAGTAACAACCCAATACTTGCCATTGCACAGCCATGCTTTGCCGCTACAATGCACCTGATGAAAGTGGTTCCTATGATAGTGAACCAGGCAGCTCTGAATCTTCACAAGACTCTGATGGCTCAGAGAGCGCCAGCCCCAGCCGCAAGAAGCCAAGAACCGTTCCTGAGCTTCGGAATCTTTGCTGGAATCAGATTCAATCTCTGGATGTGGATGATTATAGTGCCAAGTCCTCCATAACAGGTTTTTAATTTGTTGATACCTTGCAGTGGGGCCAATGGCTAAACCTAAGAAATGTTTGAGTTCTGTTGATTCTAAAGAACCTAAGGCAATCCCACGGTCTACCAACAAAAAGGCAAAAGCAAAGAAAGAATACAGCTGGCTATGAAGAAGACATGCTGCAAAGCGCAATGCAAAAGAAAGCTGAGCTTAAGCATGGTGGTGTCACTTTGCGTAGCGTTCTGGTCCTTGACAAAGGCAGCTCAAGACTCTTTGCTGCTTGCTGACTAACTCACTGAGTTTTCCTATTTTGTTTTTGCTGAACGTGGGTGATGTGCGCTCGCAAATTGCTGCAGCTAGGCTTTGGAGCCTACAGAATACAAGTTCGATTGATGGCATGGATGGCATGGAGACTGATGAGTCTGATGATGAGTCATCTTCAAATGAATCTGAGTCCAGTGGGTCTTCAAGCAGCTCCCAAAAGAATAATACAAGATCTACATGGCTGATTCAAGGACAGGTGTTCATGCAGGTTGTATAAGTGCATAATATGTACAATTCATTCAGTGTCATTGAAGCACAAGTCAGGAGTACAGGTGTGCCGCGAGGCTTTCTTGCAGCTGTTGGGCATTGGGCGAGATCGCGTTATAAGGGCCAAATATTCCTTCAGAGGACAAGATATGCGATCAATGGGAGCCTTGGCTATTCCAGATTTGGGACCATGAACTTGTTAAGTTGGTTCCCCAAAACAACCCAATGCTCTTAGGACGCTCATGCCGTGAAGCTACCGCTGCTGCATCGGTCTTGGCCTTCTTGCAAAAGACATATTGGGGAATAGCAGAATGCCTACCGCACGAGCAACTTGCAAGCAACGTTTCATGAACTCACACTTTGTTATACTAGTCTCGTGTGGACAATTGTGAGGATGCACTTTGATCCCAGAGATCACAGCTTGGCAGACTCTCACACAGGGAGGCAAAAGTTGGTCAGAGCACTGATGGCAACTTCTTTGGACACTAAAGCAATTGGCGCACACACTGTGGATCCATCAACTTTGCCACGCAGGTATCTTCCACCAGGTTGCTACTCAGACTTGTTTCGCCTGTATTTGGCTGAATGCCATGCCGCGAGCAAACCTGCTGCCAGCCCTTCTACTTTTTTTAGAACACTGAGGCAGAGTGGATGGAACAAGAAGATCAAATTCCGAGGTGTTTCTACACATGCTCAGTGTGAGGTGTGTCACCGGCTGAAGTCAGCCATTCGCAATGCAAAGAGCATACAGGTGCATGCCCAACGTGCTGATGAATATCAAAGACATCTTTCAGGAGTTTATGCTGACCGCCAAGTCTATGCACAAACAAAACAGAGGGCAGCCACTCAGAAAGATATCCTATGCTTAATTGCAGACAGTATGGACCGCAGCAAGTTCCGACTACCCAAGTTTGCCATGGGCCGGACGCCCAAACCACTAGAGACTCGTAAGCGACCTGAAATGGAACTTACATGTGTGATATGCCATTCCATTGGTATCTACATATTCCTGACTGACAGTGAACAGTCAACAGGGAGCGATTGGTCATTGGAGGTCCTATCTTTGGCCCTTGACTCTGCCTTTGATCAATGCCAAAGGGATGGAAGATCCTGGCCTCAGCACCTTAAAATGTGGACAGACAATACTCCAAAAGCAACTTGACAGGATTAGAGACAATATGAGACATTCAAAGAGTAATTGCTAATAAACACTGGCCACTTCCAACAGCCTGAGGAATATAGAAACTCCATATTAGGGCGATATTGCTGCCACTTGGCAACGACACGCTGCTTTAGCACCGTGTCTCATGAGCACCTGGTTGTGGGGCACACCCATGAGGACATCGGCCGTTACCTCAGTCCTTTTGGTAACAACAATGAATTCCATACATCAGCGTGATTGCGCCACCGCCACAGCTGCTAAGATGGGTTCTTTGGAATGATATCCAAGATCATACGGCAAGGAGATGAAAACATGCAACTAGTCTTGGTGATTTGCTGAGTGCATTAAAGTGTGTCATTGAGTCTTGGGTGAAATTATATTGAGGCAAGTACCAACAGACCTGGTGAAGTTCTAGCCTTAGCTGACACCAGGACCCATATCGCAAAGAGTTGTAGGCACACATTGCTACTCAGGTGGCTGAATGATAACCTATGTGCACACTTCGAGAAGAGTGGACTAGAGTTCCGGGCAGTATATATCACCAGTGTGCGCAATTGGACAGACACCTTGGAGAGCTATTCAACATTGAGTGGCGCGTATAGGAAGCGCAAGCTGGGTGATATGAAGGAAATTCCCCACAGCTTCACTTTTGCCAGGAGAGACTGCATCATATCTAAATAAAATGGATACTCAGCGTTTGTTCTGCAAAACCTGGTTGCTCACATGACTCCTGCCATCTCTTGCCAACTCCAAGGTATGCCAGCGCACCTTTTGCAGGAGGCTTCCAACAAGCTTCCACCAAGATTTGGGGGCGATTCCATCAACGACGTCTTCTTGATGGTGAAGGCCTTTGTAAGCGATTGTGACATGTCCCAACCTTCCTTGGTAGTATGGCCGGGCAGAACTGCCCCTGATTGCCTGGATGCCCTGCACAAGATTGCCAGAAATGAAGTGGCTGGACCTTTGTCTTAGATTCATCAAATTTCTTGGGAACGCTGGAGCTTCTTTGTTAAAACCTGTGGTGACAAGGAGTGGCAACTTACTTGGACGATCAAAGAAAGGAGGTCCTTCTCGAGATCGCGCAGTATTTGAGAGAACACTACAAAATATATGGCCGTGGAATTGGGTACCTGGAGCAGCTGGCAGGAGTGAGAGCGTTTCCGCGAACGCCTGCCAAGAGGATAAACTTTTTGTTGGCGCCTCAGGCAGGCCTCCAAAGAGGAGCAATAGTGCTGGGAAACCCCATGCCCCATACCATTCACACAATGAAGGTTCGATTCCATCGCTATCATTGAAAAATAGTGTGCGTGTACATATTGTAATAGAATGCATTGATGCAATAATACCAGTGTTCAATTTCCATTACATTGATCCACAGGTCATTTGAGCTGTGCTAAAAGTTTTGTTTACTGTGTTTCAGAGCAATTTGTGCTCAACTGTTTGCGGAGTCATGACCGCTATGATGGCAGAGCCAGTGGGCCTGGCACATGTGAAGATGGAAGATGGCGATGCTAAGGGAATTGAGGTCAAAGTGAAACAGGTGACTGTTTGGCAAGTGGCAACAAAAACCTTTGGAAACAACTGACATTATTGTAGTTGGCATTAGATGGCAGTGGAACACATTGACTCTTGACACTTAATCAGCCAAGGAGACAACACCGGCAACGTCTATCAAGAAGCAAGTGATAGATGCCGTTGATGAGGCGTGGCACTTATTATACTATTCATGAATTGGGTATTTTCATTCTGGCCAGATCGCTTCGAAAATGAACATTGGCGAGTGGCTTTGGAAAGAATTTGGTGGCTATGAGAATGAAGCAACCTTTCTTGGAGTGACTTTACTTTGATAAGATGAAACTGTGGCAATGACAACAGAGTTGTTTTCCTTCACCCCTTTTCAATCAGGAGATGAACAGGCTCTTTGCTATGAGCTGCGTGAACAAGCACGTTGATGCTCTTCAATCCACTATTCAATCAGTTCCAGCCACTACCAAGAAGAATTTCCTCTTGGATCCTTGGGCGTTCAACTTTTCCGAGCACAGCAAATATGGTGAATGTGGGCGCTTCCCCTCCAATCATCAATTTCTTGCTCACTATGGGTCCTTCTTACAGCATGGCTTTGAAAGCCATAGGGAAGCATTTGAAGTGAAGTTTGGATTGGGCCACGGCTCTGACCCTTTCAAGATCGAACCCTTCTCCGTGGGCTTTGTTGATGGACAATGCAAAGCGCTGATAATCCAAACAATCCTGGCATTGATCAGCAAGATGGCCATGAACTTAGATCCATCCCTTCAAACAATTATTGAACCATGTCTTTGACTTGCAGTGTTTTGCAAATCTTTGGAACAAACCAGGTGAGTGCAGAGGATGACTTGGATGAACCTATGGCAAAGGTGATTGCATCCTTCCGCTATTGCCGGGCCAATTTCCACAAGCATGAGGAGCCTGAGACCTTCCTCTTTGAATCTCTTTGCGCCTCCCTTAGTTGCAACCAAGTGTCCAAAGTCCAAATGAACCCAAGCGAACACTGATTGCTGCCAGGCCTTGCAAACAGGACGGCGGAGAAAACAAAGCCATCAGCTTTAGACCTGCTCCTCCTCTTCAAAGAGGCTGTCAGGTGCAGACAGAACAGCCCGGGTGGAAAGCATGTCAGTCTCCGAGAAACACTTTGGAGCTGCGTTGGGGACTACAACAAAAGGGTTGGCAACAATCGAGCCTGTTGGCTGAATACAGTTCTAATTCTCAATCAACTGCTGGCACACAAATCACTTTGTCATTTTTATTCCTTTGAACTAAGTCATGGAAGATCAACGAGTCGACCAAGCGCATGATCTACAATTTGCTGCGATGTCCTCCTGGGTTGTGGAATGTGTTGAAAACAATGTACAACAACACCAAACCGGAGCTGGCAGGCCTGGCTACATCCATTATTCTGATATTATTTGTATTGTCTGTTTGGCTTTAAATTGAATACCATATTCCGTGCCAGCCATGAACATGGAGAACTTGGAGGGCGACTATTTTGTGCCTGGCACTGAACTATGTGGTGAGAATCCTCTATGGAAGGAAATCCAGGCAAGGGTTAAACGGTTTAACTTTATCAACAACTGTTTGGTCATTGTATGAATCCCTGTCAGACTGTATCGGAAGACGCTGTCCTCCTTTGGGCACAACGGGCCGCCAATGACTTTGACAAGAAGGTTGGCCCAAATGGCACTTCAAAACAGAAGGCCTGGAAAATTGGTTCCCTGCTTTGAACAATATCATTGAAAAGACATGTCCCTGATCCCTGATTCAGAAAATGGCCATGCGAGATCAAGCTGGGATGGTGGAACTGCTCCAGACTTCTTGTCTGATGAACTACCTATGGCCGCACCTCGAGCGCTACATTGGGAAAGGCAAGGCGCTGGATTCCATAGTGGATATGTGGTCCAATGGGAGCCTCAGCTGAAACAAGCAAAAGGATGTACAAATGGAGGTCCAAGGAAAACCCCCAATAGTACTGTGGTTTTCAAATTCCGCAGTACAAAACCCTATGTTTTGGAGGTCAGGGAAACTTTTGGGTACTTAAATTGAAGGGGCCAGGAATGACCAAACCTTCCAAATCATATGGTTTTGTACTGTGGTTTTTGAAAACCGCAGTACTCAGGGGCCTGAAATCCAGGATTGGATTTGTACATTGTTTCAATGAAATCTAACTGAACAGAATGAAAACTGTTGGACAGGTAAGGAAAAAACCGCGGTACTCCCAGACCTCTGGAAAAAAAAACCGCAGTACTCCCAGACCTCCAGAAAAGAAAACCGCAGTACTC